AAGGTCCAAAAAGCTCCCAAATAATCAAGTCACGGTGCCCAGAAATCCAAAATATATAAATAAGTGATCTACTGCATCAAGGGCAGATCAACAGAACAGAGGATCCGCTCCCTCTCAAAAAAGTCCTAGAATAAAATCACAACCCCTCTTAAAGGTCTTATGGTCCCAAATAATCAAGTGCACAAAAACAACACAAAACTATGAGTTTAATAAACAGTGGGCTTGTTGAAATAAATAAGTGATCTATATATTGTTTGGTATAAATAAGTGAGCAGCCAGTCGATTACTTGGTTTGGGCAGTCGGTTGGGTTTGGGCATTCGGCTGGTCTGTTGTTCGGCTGGGTCTTGGTGGCTGGTCTGGAGTGGATTTGTCGGTGGGTATTGGTGGTTGGGTCTTGGTGGCCGGTTTATTTTTCAGTGGTTGGACTGGGTCTGTTTTTCGGTGGGACTGGGCAGTTTATTGTTCGGGTTTATGAAGTCGGTGGAGGACGAAGTAGTCTTGGGGGCAGTGGGTTTGTCGCTAGGTGATTGTCGGTGGAGGCTGGTTTGGTGTTGAAGCTATCGGTGATAGTGTGTTTGTTGGTGTTATGGGTTTGTCGGTGATGGGCAGGCAGTTCAGGCGGTGGGTAGCTGTGACGTGGAGGAGGGGCTGGGGTTAGGGTTTTGGCTCTGATACCAACTTGAAATAATTGTGAGTAAAAGGAGGTTCTCAAATTAAGAGTAGAACCCCGTATATATATCCAAAAATAATACATAGTGACTTAAACATCCTTGTAGTTTAGGCAAAATATAAAAATCATAATAAGAGTAAAAAAGGGAAAAGAAATCCTAATAAACTTAAACTATCTATACTCCAACAAAATTAGATTGAAACCATAAACTAAACTTGACCTCCTTACGATAATTTGAAATCAATCTAAGAACTGGGCTTAGTTTGTACCATCAACTTTCTTAACTTTCCACTTCCCGGCAAAACAAAATAAACTTTCTTTCTAGTTTTCCAATTTATTTGTCAAACTCAATAGCAAAAAACCTTATTTGTCAAACTAATTTCCAAATCTTCCATACCCCTCGAGAGTTTGACATCTTCTGTCAGTGCTTGCCAAAGACGGTATTCACGAAAATTGTCATTTTACAAATTTACCCCTGAATTCTTAAATATTTACTTATCAGAAGATCATCTGCTTGGGTGATAATTTTTGACTCACGGAGACTCAAATTTAATGACACGACCTTAAAAAAAAATCTAACACGTAAATATGAAATAAAAATGGATCGTGTTCCGGTTTAACCTATCAAACTTGAAATTTACACGATCAACCCGTTTATTTAATTGTATCGACACTAATCCAATAATGACCTGTTAACGACACGAACATGACCTAATAATTTTTTATCAAAAAATGGCATGCTCAACCTGTTTAGATATAGTACAAAAATATATATATATATATGGTCTCAATTTAAGAATATGATAACTATTCTTCCTTTGTAGCGTAAAGAAAATTTATTTTAAGTCTAGCAGTTTTAAAATCACAATAATTTTGAAAGACTTAGTTAAGAATGGGCATTTCCTCTATTTTCTTATTTGTATATAACACAATGAACATTTATATAATAAAACATATAGGAAGTTGAACTTTATTCTCTTTACATTTTTCCTTCAAAACAACTCATTTCTATTACAAGTTCAATTACTTTTATTTGAGGGGGAGGGGGAGGGGGAGGGGGGGGGGGAAAAAAGGGGACTTGAATCCTTGACTTCAAGAAGACAAAACTTTTACAAGACAAGTAGTTCAATTACTTAATATTTGATCAATTTGTAATTTAACATAATTTTTTATTTCAAATATTGTCCATACACGATAGTATATATATATATATATATATATATATATATATATATATATATGTGAAGAAAATTTTATCGAATTAAGTATTTTTGAGAAAATCTTATTAATATTTTTAAAAGAATAATAGGTAACAATAAATTTTGAATGATGTAATAAAAGAAATGAAGGAAAAAAAATTATTATTTAACATTGTGAGATCGATTTTTTGGGGCACAAATTTTACGTTTTATCGTACATTCAAACACAGATTATTACTAGTCGATTAACATGTTTATTAACAGTTTATAAAAATAAAATATTAATTATTTGTAACTATTTATTAAGCATTAAAATAATTATTGTATAAAAAAATATTTTTACTTATTATTATTAAGTTAATTTTTAATTTATAAAAAAAATATAAACCTAAATTTAATTAAGTGAAAATCGAATTTTAAAGTTAAATTTTTTATTCAAAATTTATATAAATCAACACGAATACGATATAAAAATAAACAAATCAACTTGACATAATGTAATTTATTAAATGAATTAGGTCGTGATTAACTAATATTTGACACGAACTACGATGTCTTAATCCAGACAACCCAATTATCACCCCCTACTCCTGCTCCGTGGCACACCTCCACCGCCCAATGCCTCTACTTCTACCACCACCCTGCAACTCCGCCCAAATCTCCGCCAAAACCACAATAACCGAGACTTGATTCGTTTTTATGCATCCAAAAATAGAAGTAGCTCAACTCTACGAAGCCACCATCTCCTCTCTCTCTCACTCAGGGACACGCGAAGACTCGAGCAAATAAAACTCAAAGTACATCATCCCTGTTCTTTCTCTCCTTCCCTCTCTGTCTCTGCGTCCAGTCCACAGACAGGTTTCTTGCCATTGTGGTGGTTCACTGTCCACCCTCTAACCCCCTTAATCCCTTTTAGCTCTCTCTTCTCTCCTGATCCGTGGCGGTGGCGCCACCTTCTAATCAAAGAAAAACCCACTTAATCAAGAGACCAATTCAGCCACACCCATCGAAATTCAACCACATGCAGGCACCATCAAGCTTCGCCAATGGGTGAACCCATTTCTAAGAGCCACCCTATGGATGTCATGGTGTTGAAACATCACTGACGATGGTCACGGCTAGATACAGAGAGACAGAGACAGAGATCTCACTTTAGAGTTAATAAAGCATCTGATTCTTTTTACTGACTTTAATCATCTATGCTGTTATTTCGTCTTTCAATTAGGATTCTTGTTGTCTATTTTCTTCAAATCTGGTCGTTTTCAATTCATCATTTGCAAAAACTTCACAATTCTGATATAATAATGTAAATTAATGCCTACATTGAATTTGCATCATCTGATACAATTACATTTGAGGCCTGTCATGAAGAGTTGAGAGTATTAACAAGGCCCAACTCAAGCCAATTATTTTTGTATTGACCAAAAAAAAAACCAATTATTTTGTAGACAAAGTCCCATAAATCATCAAATTTTGGGTAATATGTTTTTGAATATACCAATGCATAAATTATACCTTTATCTGCCTTCAAGCTCTGAAATCGATAGCCCATTGTTGGACTGGTTTTCCAACTTCTCACATGTCTCCTCCACCTTTGGTGCACTCATTTGTATGAAGAATGCGGGTTTCTTTGGTGCAGGTAAAGTCATTGTTTCATTTGTAAGCATGGAAACAACATCTGACATGGAGGGTCTGTCCATTGCATTGTCTTGTACGCACAAGAGACCCACATGTATGCACCTCATTACTTCATTATGATCGCAAGATTCATCTAATGTTAGGTCCATTATCTCTAAGACTTTACCTTCTTGCCACAGTTCCCATGCCTGATACACGAAAGTTTCATAGTTTGCAATGTTAGCTACCTTATGTGAATCAATGCTTCCTGATGACAAACTGACAGACAAAGATTGAATTTCAGTGACAAACTTACATATCCTACGAGGTTGAGTGGATAATCTGAATGATAGCATCTATTGTTCTTCTTGCTGCTCACAATCTCTAACAATAAAACTCCAAAGCTGAATACATCAATTTTCATTGAAACAACGCCTTGAAGGATATACTCCGGAGACATGTAACCACTGAAGATTAAAAAGAAGTATAGTGTTAAAACTTGTGTGGATATTCAGATGATGAACATTTTTAATTTATTTTTGCTTACTGTGTGCCCACGATTCTGTTTGTGTTTGCTTCTGATTCACTAACCCCAAATATTCTTGCCAAGCCAAAATCTGATATTTTTGGGTTCATATTGTCATCTAATAAGATGTTGCTGGCTTTCAAATCTCTATGAATAACTCTCAGTCTCGAATATTTGTGGAGGTAAAGTACCCCTTGAGCAATTCCTTCAATGATGTTGAAGCGGTTTGTCCATCTCAGTAGTTTTCTTCTTGTAGGATCTGTTTGCAGTGGACATATGGGATTTGAGTGGGAGCGATTGCTAAAAATATGGCAGGATTATGGTTCATCTCCAAAAGAAGCAGTTACAAGTGTTTAGGATTGCATACCAAAGAGGAAGAAATCCAAGCTCTTGTTGGGCATGAATTCATATACTAAAATTTTCTCATCCTCTTGAATGCAGCATCCTAATAGCCTAACAAGATTAGTGTGTTGGAGTTTGGAAATTAGAAGAATTTCATTTTTGAACTCCACCAGTCCTTGACCTGAACTTCTTGAAAGTCTTTTTATTGCTATCTCTTGTCCATCAGGTAATCTTCCCTGAAATATTGCCAATGAGTGATTTCTCAAATCATTTTAAGCTGAGGAGTGCACAAAGTTTACCTTATACACTGGTCCAAAGCCACCCTCTCCTAGCTTATTTGTGATTGAGAAACTATCAGTGGCAGCTGCAATGCTTTCAAAGCTGAAAAAGTGTAATTCGTGGCTCATCCTCTCGTCTGTTTTGTAATTATTGGCTTTGCTGTATTTGGTGTCCGGCGTTGGATTCCCTCTTAGCTCAGACAGTATCATCTTCTGGCTTCTTTTTCTCTTTCCTAATAGATAAACATGGAAATTAAAATTTCAGAAACAATTGTCATCTGAATTTAATGATAATTTGTGGAGCTCACCTATTAGTTTGAGCTTTCTTTGTACTAGATAGCATGGTATGAGTATTATAGCGAAAGCGCCCATTGCAGTGAGCAGCCATATCCACCACTTCTTTCCTGCATTGAAAGACTCTTGTTGAAATATCATAATTATTCCTACATTAACTCTCTTCATTATGCATCTAGCCATCTATCATCTATTTCAGCTACAGGTGGAAGTTGCTTCTCAAATTCAACATATAGCTTGAGAAGATAATTCAACATAGGTGACCCTCTAATCATCTCTTTTATGAACTGTTTACTGTATAGTGTGTGGGTAATTCATGAACAGAGGATAAGTTAGAGCATTGAAACTGATTATCCTAAACATGTTTACAACTTTTCCTCCAAGCTTAATCACATGTATAATATTAAAGGTATTCAGGTTTATATATATTTGTTATTCATATACGAAAATGCATGTAAACAAATTTTGCAATTATTAAGGGTGCGTTTGATAACGTTTTTTTGTTATTTTATAAAAAAATAGAACTAATTTTTATTTTTTCTGTGATAAAAATTAAAAATATAACAGATTCTTAGTCATTTATATTTAAAAAATTATGAAAACAAAAATAAAAAAACTTGTTTGATATTATACCAAAAATTCACGAGTAATGCTAGATAGACTTAGAAACTAAACTTAAAAATTAGACTTGATAATCTCAATTATTGAATAGGTAGTGGATTCAAAAAAATACTGGGACCCACAGTGAAATGAATGGTTGAGATTATTAAATCTATTTTTTAAATTTATTTTTTAAGTTCACGTAGCATTGCTCAAAATTCACCGTCCAAACCCTACCACCCAACCCACTGATAACCCCAAATCCCACAACCCAACCCCACCACCGAAACCCACCACCCAACCCCAGTGACCGCCCAAAACAACCACCCAACCCCACCACCACAAACCCCACCAGCCAACCCCACCGACCACCCAAAACCACCAGTCAGCCCCAAATCTCACCACCCACCCCCAACCCCACCACCAAAAACCCCTCCCCCCCACCGAAACCTACCCCCATTACCGAAATCCACCACCGAGATCTGAACAACATCATCATAGATCTAAAAGTAAATGAAAAATTTTGCAGAGAAAATGGAGCTTACTGCTTCGCCGGAGATGAAGGTCTTCGCCAGAGATGGAGCCGTCTGTGGAGTTGGAGCATGTTCGAAGAAATGAGTAAAATGCATTTTTCTTGGCATTTATATGATAAGAAAAAAAAAATATTTCAATGTGGAGAAGATTCGAAATCCATACCGGGGAATAGGAGTTGCTGCTTGTTTGAGTTTTTTGACGTTTTTAGAAACATCATTTTAGATATTTTCATATTTTAACATTGTTTTCAAAATAAAGCAGTTAAAAAAAAATAAAAATATTTAGTATTTTTATTTATTTTTTGCTAAAAAATGAAAAAATAAAAAATAAAACAAAAACATTGTGTCCAATATGCTTTCTTTTTAATATTTTTTAAATCTACTTTGAAAAAAAAAATGGCAAAATCTAGTTTACCTCCTTGTGATTTGGGTATTTTGCACACCACTTCCCTATGATTTGGAAATCAGCACATTAAGTGGTAAAATGACTTTAGTACCCTCAATTATTCATCATTTTCTTCCTCCCTCTCAACTATAGCTTAATTTTCTAAAAAATCAATCAACCACCCAACTTTACAAGCTTTTTTCTCTCTCTACAAAATATCAAACTTCCTCAAACCAATGTCAATATCCTCCACTTTCAACCTAGTTTTAAATCCCACGGACTTGTTTCCTTAAATAGCCCCCATGACCCACAAATTTAAGCTCAAAGGTGATCACAAACTCAATTTAACAAGTTATGTACATACTAGATTTTTTTCAACATTTGGGCCAACTTTGGCCCTTAATTTCTCCCTCTTTTCTCAATCTTTTTGGGTGATTCAAATGCCTAAATTTAACTTCTTTCTACCCTCTTTCCAACCATGTATTTAATTTGTCCAAATCATGCACAAGGTAAGTGGAAATCGAGCTCCAAAGTGACAGGTTCATTATTTTTAAAAATTGTCACTATTTTTAGTTCAATTTCTCACCCACCAAACCTCATTCTTTCTCAATTCTAACTTAAAAAATGAATTCATTGACCCTAAAAATGGTGGATTAGGCCCCATTCACCTTCAAAACTCAAAATTTTGAATATCAAAAAATTCAAGTTTCAAGTATAAACAAGAGTTTTGATTTTCTCTCACTATATACCTTGTTGCCTCTCTCTCACTCTCTGTCTCTGACTCAACAATGTCATTGCCCCCTTTTTCTCTTCTTCATCATCTCTCTCCATTAGCAACCCCCTCTCCCCTCTTTCTTTCTCTAAGTAACAACTTCATTGCCCCTTTCTCTCACCACCCTTCTGCCACTGTTGGCAACCCATAGTCAAACAACCCTCCTAGGAATATCTCCATTCCCTCCCCTCCCTTCCTCCCTTGTCCTCTCCTCTTTGCTCAAACCCCCTCTTCCCAGGCTCTCCTCGGTGCGACCAACGACGGCATCAGAGCCACATCCCTTCCTGCACATAAAGACGATCCCACCATGATTATTGAACCTCTAGCCATTAGTTATTCCTATAGTTTGAGTGGTAAAATGAATTTCACTTGAGCCGTGCATAGTTAAGAATCATCCACTTAATTTTAATTTTTAAAATTTTGTTGTTAAAAATTTTGATAAAGAGACAGTACTTGGAGTGAATTGTTTGAGAAAAAAATATGATAGTCAACTGTTCAAGTAGATGAAGATTGAAGAAGGGTATTATTGTACATTTATTGTGTCTATTTTTGGAGGAAAAAAGTTTTGTTATGTCAAATCTCCTTTTAGGTGCGTGTGTCACATATGGTTTAATCTAACGGAAAAACTAATTGTAGCATTTTAGTCCAAAAACATAAGGGGGGTAATGTACTGATTTCTAAATCATAGGGGGGCCACGTGCAAAATATCCAAACCACAAAGGGGTAAATTGAATTTTAACCGAAAAAAAACCTTACCAAACAACGAATTAAACGATCATACACACACAAAATCCACCTACGTTTAAACGTCTCTAAAAATGTAAACTAACCTCTTTTTGAAAAAAGAAAATAAAACTAACCTCTTTTTGAATAAAGAAAATAAAACTGTCTGTCGTCGTAAGTGCCAAAATGTTCTTCGAAACTCATTCCTTGAACCCAAATCTCACATCCGGTTCCGTTGTTAGTAGCATAGGCAACACAAGAGCAATTGTTCCAGCATATTTCCTTGCAATCAGAATCACTCAAGTTGTAGCTTTTATCGTACTTGAATCCATCACCAACTATGCTTTTTGCTTTTGCTACTAAAAAGTAGTTTGGTTTCCTGCACTCTGGCGAGTTTCCGGTCATTTTGCACCCAAGATGGTTACGCAAATGACACCCACCAATAGATGCTATCCCTTCGTCGCCTCTCATTTGACCATCTGGTCCTATGTAGAACATTGGTGAAGTACTGATTTCATTCACCGAGTAGCTGAGGTATTTCTCATTCTCATTGGAGACATAGCTGAAGTTGTAGTAGTCTTCGTAGGACAATTGGCGGACATTGTCAAAGCTCCCGTTGCTCCATAGCCCACTAGTCCAGTAGACATTCCCTAGCCGCCAGATTACAAGTTGTCCCGTACCATTGGAATCTACACCAAAGGTAAAAGACCCTGAGGCAGGTACCTCATCACTTCTCCAAGAAGTTAGCGACAATGTATGCCCAGTTTTGAGGTTGATACCAAGTTTCATTCCTGGTAGAAGCGTGTCGGTAGGATAATCAAAACTTTCCCACAAAACTTGCGTTACAGACCCATTTGAATCGAGTTCTCTGAATACAAAATTGCCTGAATCTAGCAGTGTAGCACTTGCATTGCTGTTTGCCGGAAGAGAATTAAATACAATAGCACTGCGGCCCCCACTATATGAAATTTTCAAACGGCCATCAAAGTCGATGATCAGGTTCCCAGATGCATCGGGGATAGGGTTGTCTCGGTTTGCCATCCACACGGCCTTCTCGGTTCTTTGCTCCTTGTTGTAAAATATGCCTACATAATAGCTCCTTGAAATCATCCCAGAGCTGAAGAATTGCAACTTGAAGACCTGATTTTTTGAAATTAACTGTTCCCAATTTCTGAGCGGTTGACCTAAGTAGATTGTGTCTGTCTCCGAGTATGCAGGGCTGAAATTGAAGAACAAAAAAAAGCTTGACAAATAAAGAAGAAGTACTCTCATTCTTCTTCCTTTGGTAGCCATTAAAACACAACTTTGACACTTGAGGAAGTAGTAGATAACTATGCTCAAATTGTGGCAAGTCTCTTCAGCTGGCTTTGTTGAGTCCTCTGAGTCTACTTTTCATTGTAATTGGGTATCAATATTGGTTGTGTACAATTTTGTAAACCTCCTCCTAGTAAGTTGGATTAGTCAACGTCAACGTCAACAATTTTCCTTGTTGTCCTAACTAGAGGGTATAGTCAATTTTTTTATAATATATATGTACTAACAATTGTCCATGTCTGAAAATATGATATTACTCGTACAAGACAAGTTCGGGACAATGTCTTCTCACCTTGCTAGGATTATAAACATACATATTATTGAAAAAGTATTATAATATAATTGCATATATATATCAAATATGCACAAATGAGTCAAACTTGATTTGAATGTGAGCTTTAACTCGAGTTTAAGTTGGAGCTCTCTAATTGACCCAAGCTAAGCCAGACTTTGAACAAAAACTTGATGTGCCAGACTTGAACAAGTTACTTGAAGGTCGTATCCCAAACACTATTACTTCACAAATGAATTAGTCGAGCCTAAATAATATCTTGAATAGTCTGATATGCTCAGCTCAATTCAGTACATTTACACGTCCTACTATTGAAGAAAATTTTGTATGGATTTAACACACCAAGTGACACTATCATGTGGTGTGTATACCCAATAAGAAGGTAACACAAAAACAGTTTGTGGGACACACAAGCTGAGTTTTTCAAAAAATATTTGACAAAGTGATAGGTGTCAGCAGCTATGTTAGAGATAGTTAGTAATGTAAAGAATCCCACATTAGAAAAGTTGAAAGGGAATGTAAGAGTTTAAAAGGAGAAACACATCAAATTTTATAAATTTGGATGGTGGGAAGATTTGGAGGGAAGTTTCAAATATTTCAAATCAATGAGTCTTGATTAGACTTTAAATAAAATAATCTTTAAAGTCAAAAGATGGGCACTTGGGCTTGAAACCTTTAAATAATTAATTATTTTTGTATTAATTAATTATTAAATGTCTTTTGGCCCAAGAGTTGTGTCTCCTCTTTACATCTCTTTAGCCCTAGAGTTGTGTATTATCACTAAGGTATTATAAATACTTGTACAGATCTTTCAATTGACATATACACAAAAAACAAAACGTTTTTCTATTCTGTTCTTGAGAGAATTTTAGAGTTTGCTATCTGAAATTCTGTTTGGCTTTGTTAATCCTAGAAGAATTTGTCATAAATCCAGCAGCAACATAGTGGGGGCAAAATTTCCTTAAGGACAGTGAATATACGATCAAAACCTTCTAATTTGGTGAAATCCTATTTTGCTAACAATCTTAAGGAAATTACATAACAATGGAGGCTATTGGTTCGGTTATTGGTTCAAATTCTGTTTTCAAGTTCAATCCCGAAGTGTTCAAGTTGGATCGTTTTGATGGAACGAACTTCACACGCTGGAAGGATAAATTATTTTTCTTGCTTATTGAATTGGGTGTTACGTATCTGCTAAGTGGAAATCTGCCAACTATTCCTGAACCATCTGACAAAGAAGATGAAGAAACTATAGCAACCCGCAAGAAATGCATGGAGGATGAAGTTCGTTGCAGAGGCTATATTCTGAATTCACTGTTTGATCGATTATACGATCTGTTTCGTTCAATCAAATCCCCACAAGAAATTTGGAGTGCCCCTGGAGAAGAAATATACATCTGTCAAGCCAGGTACAGACAGATTTCTCGATATAAAATTTTTTGAATTCAAAATGTTTGATAATAAATCTATCATGGAACAAGTAGATGAATTGCTTGTCCTAGTATCTAGACTCAAGGATTTTAAAATAGAAGTGTCTGAACAACTTCAAGTGGCTGCGGTAATTGAAAAATTGTTTACTACTTGGAATGATTATCGAAAGAAATTGTTGCACACTTCTGAAGATTTTACCATAGGTCAACTCATGAAGCATATCCGAATAGAAGAAGAAACTCGCAGTCATGAGAATAAAAATGCTTCAGAGTTTGGTTATAAAGTAAACAATATTGAGTCTAATATGAAGAAATCAACAAAGACTGGTAATACTTCTGAAAATAAAAGGAAGTATATTGAATCTTCAAGTAATAATTCTGCCAACTTTAAGAAGAACAAGACATGTTTTTTCTGTGGCAAGAATAGTCATTTCAAGAAAGAGTTCATGTTCTATAAGAAATTGAAGACAGAGGCAAATGCTAGACAAAAGAAGACAAATATTGTTGAACGTCCTCCAAGTCCTTCTGAAATTATAGCCATGATTGCTGAACTAATAATCAGCATGATTACAGAATGCAATATGGTAACAACTGACAAGACTGCAGATTGATGATATGATTCTGGTGCGACAGTGCATGTTTGTAATGACAAATTTTTGTTCAAGAACTATGAAGTTGCATCAAAGGATAAAAATGTTTTGATGGAGAATCATCATACTGCCAAGGTGTATGGAAAAGGGACTGTTGAACTGCAGTTTATCTCTGGAAAGAAACTGATCTTAATGAATGTATTTCATGTTCCTAATGTGAGAAAGAATCTGATATCTGCAAGTTTGCTGTGCAAGAAGGGCTTGAAGGTTGTCTTAGAGGCAGAAAAAAATTATATTTTCTAAGAATTGTGTCTTTGTTGGACAAGGGTATTCATGTGATGGCATGCTTAAGTTGAGCATTAATAAAGTTGATGTTTCTGTTTATATTCTTGAATCTCCTTTTAATTTATGGCATGCTCGTTTATCACATGTTAATTATGGATCAATTAAGTATATGTCTAGGCATGGTTTAATTCCATGTACAAATAAAATTTTTGGAAAATGTAAAATATGCATACAAGCAAAAATGACTAAGAAACCTTTTTCAAAGAATGAAAGAACAACTGAAACACTTGAACTTGTGCATTCTGATATATGTGAATTAAATGGTCATTTAACTAGAGGAAGAAATAGATATTTTATTACTTTCATTGATGATCATTCTAGGTTCACTAATGTTTATTTAATGAGAACTAAAGATCAAACATTTTATATGTTTAAATGTTATAAAACCTTGGTTGAAAATCAATTGGAAAAGAAAATTAAAATCCTACGAAGTGATCGAGGTGGTGAATATTTTCCAATTGAATTTACTATTTTTTTTGAAGAAAATGGTTTGATTCATCAAACGAGTGCACCTTATACTCCACAACAAAATGGTTTGGCTGAAAGAAAGAATAGAACATTGGTAGATATGATTAATGCTATGCTTATGCATGCTAAACTACTAACAAATCTATGGGGAGAAGCTCTATTAACAGCTTGCCATGTGCACAATTGAATATCCTCAAAGAAAACAAAAACTTCTCCATATGAAATATGGAAAGGAAGAAGGCCAAACTTAAGCTATTTGAGAGTATGGGGTTGTATAGCCTATTATAGAGTTCCAGATCCTAAAAGAACCAAATTAGGATCTAGAGCTCTTAAGAGTGTTTTTGTGGGTTATGCTGAAAATTCAAAAGCATATAGATTGTTGGACATAGACTTGAATGCTATCATAGAGTCTAGAGACGTTGAATTTTTAGAAACAAGTTTTCTTGGAAATTCAAATGTCAATCAACAATCGAATAGAGAAAATGTTGAACCTCTAATTACATAAGACATTAATATGGATCAAAATTCTTTAAATAATAAACGGAAACGAGTTGAATCTCCTAATGAACCAAGGAAAAGTCAAAGGGTAAGAAAAAAGAAAAACTTGGATTCTGATTTTATTTCTTCACAAGCAATAGTCTTCTTAGCTGAAGGAAGTAGAGATGAGATTTTAAATAAATAACCATTGTTATGCATTTGGAAGAAGTTCCCATCGAATGTAAATGGGTGTTTAGGAGAAAATATAATACTAATGGTTCTCTACAAACCTTCAAAGCAAGACTAGTGGCAAAAGGTTTTAGACAAAAAGAAAGAGTTGATTATTTTGACACATATGCTCCGGTGGCAAGAATTACTTCAATAAGAGTGTTGTTTGCTTTAGCATCAATATATGATTTATACATACATCAAATGGATGTTAAAACACCATTCTTAAATGGTGATCTTGATGAGGAAGTATATATGGAACAACCTGAAGGATTTGTACTTCTTAGTAATGAAAAGAAAGTTTGCAAATTGGTGAAATCCTTGTATGGATTAAAACAAGCTCCTAAACAGTGGCATGAGAAATTTGATAGTGTCATATTATCTCATGGTTTTAATCATAATGGAGCTGATAGATGCGTTTACTAAAGACTATGGTGTAATAGTTTGTCTCTATGTTAATGACATATTGCTCATAGGAACTAATTTGAAAGGAGTAAATGATACTAAGAGATACTTGACTTCTCAATTTACAATGAAAGATTTGGGAGAAGTCGATACTATCTTAGGGATTAAAGTTAAGAAACATAGTGGGGGTTTTACTTTGTGCCAATCTCATTACATTGATAAGATTCTCTCCAAGTTTAACCACTTGGAAATTAAAGAAGCTAATACCCCATTTGATGTTTCTAACAAATTGGCAGAAAATTTGGATAGATCCATTAGTCAATTAGACTATGCAAGTGTAATTGGTAGTTTAATGTATGTTATGCATTGTACTAGACCTGATATTGCTTTTTCTGTATGCAAACTTTCAAGATATACAAGTAATCCTAGTACTAAACATTGCAGGGCTATTGGAAGAGTTTTTGGTTATCTTAAAAGGACAAAGTCATTTGCCTTGTTTTATAACAAATTTTCTGCGGTACTAGAAGGCTATACTGATGCTAGTTGGATGACTAGTATCAATGATAACAAATCAACGTCTGGTTGGATTTTCACTTTAGGTGGAGGAGCTATATCATGGGTTTCTAAAAAATAGACGTGTATTACTCATTTCACAATGAAATTTGAATTTATTACGTTGGCAGCGGCAGGTAAAGAGGCGGAGTGGCTGAGAAATTTATTGTTGGATATAAAGTTGTGGCCACAACCAATGCCAACAGTCTTTTTGCACTGTGATAGTCAAACAACTATGTCTAGGACTTTTAGCAAGATTTATAATGGTAAATCTAGACATATTGCTTTAAGACATGAATGTATTAGACAACTACTTTCTGATGGTATAATCACAGTTGTCTATGTCAAGTCTGGTAAAAACTTGACTGATCCATTAACTAAAAGACTCTCAAGAGATATGATTAAAAGTACTACGAGTGTAATGGGTCTTAAACAATTCTAAATTTATCACTAATAATGGAAACCATACATTTCTTGTTGCTTAGCAATTTTAAAGGTTTAAGTGGTAATAACAAGTTATTAGTGATTGTTAGCAAGCACAAGGTTTTATACATAGTGCTTATGGAAAAAGAGGTTGAATATTAATTATTCTTAATGAAGAATTTGTGTTCGATTTTATGAACAAGAAAGTTCAAACTTTGAAACTTTAACAACTCTTCACCTATGTGAACACAAGAAGTGGTGTCGCTTCTATCAAAAGTTTGAAAATAAAACTTTTGTAAGTGTTCATGAAACTAGGAGGTAGCACAAAGCCATAATATGTTGCTAAAGCTCACGGTGAACATATTTAGAGAAACTTTTAAGTTTATGTGTATGACATTTTCGATCTTGTTCTATAAAATCAAGGTTTAATAAATTTAAATAATCATTGATTTGACAAGATTTTGAAATGTTTATACTAATAGCAGGTTTAAGTCGAAAGACACCATCTATATGCATAGACTTTACTTAATTTTGATTACTTACATTACTATCTAAGTGAGGGATTGTTAGAGATAGTTGGTAATGTAAATAATCTCACATTGGAAAAGTTGAAAGGGAATATAAGGGTTTAAAAGGAGAAACACACTAAATTTTATAAATTTGGATGGTGGAAAGATTTGGAGGGAAGCTCCAAATATTTCAAATCAATGGGTCTTGATTAGACTTTAAATAAAATAATCTTTAAAGTAAAAAGATGGGCACTTGGGGCATCTTGGGCTTGAAACCTTTAAATAATTAATTATTTTTATATTAATTAATTGCTAAATGTCTTTTGTCCCAAGAGTTGTATCTCCTCTTTACATCTCTTTGGCCCAAGAGTTGTGTATTATCACTAAGGTATTATATATACCTGTATAGATATTTCAATTGACATATACACAAAAAATAAAACGTTTTTTTATTCTGTTTTTGAGAGAATTTTAGAGTTTGCTCTCTGAAATTCTGTTTGGTTTTGTTAATCCTAGATAAATTTGTCATAAACCTAGCAGCAACATAGTGGAGGCATAATTTCTTTAAAGACAGTGAATATACGATCAGAGCCTTCTAATGTGGTGAAATCTTATTTTACTAACAATCTATTTATTGAACATGTATAATTTTTTATTTGTCTTAAACCCACTAAAAAATTTCTATATTGACGACCTAACCATCCAAAATCAAACAAATCATGTAAATAAAAGGAGTTGATTTGTATGTGGGGATTACCGAGTGTAGTCGATGTTGATTTTCCCAGCTGCAGGATCAGCAATGGTGGAGAAGGCTTCAAGAGAGAGATCGAGGCCAGATAGTGGGCAGCTGGGACAGAGATCGACGACCGTCACAGTCACGTTGCCATTCCTGCATAGATTTGGATCTGCGTGTGTGCCTGACGTGCATGCAACACTGTACCTTCTTCCACAGGCAGCTCCATTAGCGTACAAGTCCTGACTTGCTGCGGCCATCATTGTGCCACGGTCTTCAAACCCAAAGCATGCCGACGCTGCCAACACAAGAAAGGATGCCATACCGTTGTCAATCAATGAGCTCAAAGTTACAAATTAATGAATTTCGAAATTCTAGAATTGATATTGAAAAACTTGGGACCGATCCTACTTTTTTTTTAAAAAAAATTACCCGAAATCAATTTCATTGAATTAAGTAACTGGGCATTTTACCTTGTTATTTAATCCAATTAGGTCATAACTTGAATTATGAATACCAAAAATAAAAAAAGATTTGTAGTAGTTTTTCGATTAAAATCTAGTCATATCACTTGCACAAATTTCAAAATAGTAGATATGACCAAATCTTAACCACACAATTTTAATTTACATCTGATTTTGGCTAAAATGTTTTGAGTTGAGATGTGCCTTCTAAATTTCGGCACATGTTCAAATGATCAAAATTCTATCTATAGATACACAGGAAGGAGAGAGAGAGAGAGAAAGTAGTTATACTTACGAAGATAACCTGTGTAATATGTGGCAATTCCAGGAACGGCAAAGGTCATAGAGAAAAGGGTTGTGACAATAAACGCCACAATGATAAGACGCTCAATTGCCATTCCTTTTTTGAATGTTTTTGTGTGAGAGACGAGTAGTTTGCTCTCTACCTTGAATGTGCAACTACAAATTTGGGTTATGCATCAAATTAGATTGGAGAATGGCCCTATTATAGAACCACGGAATCTTCTTTTGTGAGCAAACGGTCTTTACACGTTTCGTAACCATCTATGTCTTCTACTGTCCGTCTTCTACTGTCTGAAATTAACTTGTAAATTCCGTTTGGAATGGGTGGGCATTGACTGCTCATGCCACAATGGGATCATCTTTTCCAAACACCTTTATTTTATTTTTTAAATTTGATCTTTTTTTGACTTTTTCAAATTTTTGCAGCCCACCAGTCGGGCACCTAAGACTACCCGACAGGTAAAAAAGATGGACCACGACTCCACGGACCACCATAAGCTACCATGTGGTGAGTTGGGTCAACCCATATCTATTAAGCTACCAGTCAAATACCTTTAGGATTTTGTTATGAACTTATGGGTAGAATTTATTCTTAAAAATTGATTTGTAAAAAAAAGGTGTCTAAGAATTTATATGTATATATCTACTCTTATTTTTAAGCGATATGGGATTGTAACATTTTATCACGCTTTCGTAATCGATGTCCATGGGCGATCCACTCTATCGACATTGGCCCAACGGTAATCAATTCTCTTTGGCGTTTCAATTCACTTATCAGTATTCAAAAAGATAACACTATGGTCACCCCTTTTGTGACTTGACAATATTTGTCCATACATAAATGTAAAGTAAAATACAAAATTATAGTAAACGATCAAAAAGATGAGTCCGCTAATATTTTTTATAACATCAACCTACATGCATAACATATATTTCCACATTAAATTGTTACACCGCAAAAATTATGTTATAATTACCGAAACATAATAATTCAAACATCTAAAAAAATATATCAATTGACAATATTCAATGTTCTATTTTTGATTCAAAACCCACGATTTCAACATTCATAATCAACTTTATTTAAATAATAACAGAATTCATAACTAATAAAGTGAAAATTAAAACAATATTACCACAAATAAACTAAATCTGCAGATGTTGTCAAATGACCAAATATAACTATCAGAAATTTAATTGATTTCCAAAAGATACGACTTAAAAAAAAAAAGATTACAGTTAAGTGTTTATTCATTCTCTAAAAACATACATTTTTTCCTTTATCCACATTCAAATAATAAAAATATAGAGAAATAATTTTTACTTAAAAAAATATTGTTTCATCTGTGTAAGTCTTGTGCATTGTAGGTTCAGCTAACCCTCCACATCTTCTAACGCTTGTGAATAGGGAATGTCATCTTTGATATCTGTCAATGTCTCTGACGAGCCCAAATCTAATTGGGCCAAACAAAGTAAATCAAGTAAGCCTAGATCCGCCAGAAAAGCAGGTCGAGCCCAGTTCATCAATCCAACCCAAGCCAAGATTCAAGGAGTTCAAGAATATTAGAGCACGTGGGAGAGAGAGATTATCGGGATATACAATCTCGAAGATCAAGACTATCTTAATTGTAGTTACCTTTTTGTAACTATCCTTCTCGAAGAATTAGTAGCTCACACTCATGTCACCGTCTCACCATGCCTATAAATTGTAAGTCCTCTCCACATGAGAGGACACATCTTGGCATCTCACTATACATTGAACTTTGCCTCTACACCCCCATACTTTCTCTCTCCTAGCTATTGTATATCTCCCGGAGACCTTGCTTGATAATTAAAGATCCCCGACCACCGTTGTCATTTTTCAGAGTGGAGTAGGTCACTTAGACCAAACCACTATATATCTACATTACTGTCATTGATTATTTTATTTATTATCCATTAATTATACCTTATCACACACTCTACTGTTTATCTTGTATGAGACTATTTTATGCATCATCAGTTTGACATCGTCCGTGGAAAACAACTAAGTTTTCTACTACCTTATTACTCCATGGCAATCACGACCAGGTCAATGAGTCAACAACTCGGCCCCTCGGGAGAAGTCTCCGCCTCTGCCAGCACCCACAGAACCATCCACTGCGGCAACTCCCGTGACTGGGCAACAATTTTTACAGATCATGTAGTTACTGGTAAACCAGAACCACCAAATCATTCGGTTGATACTCGCCTTGAGAGGTGTCGCCCCTCAACTTATAGGAGGAGCACCACTCCCTCCAACGAGAAAAGCACAACAACCTCTCCACTTTGGGTGCCAAGTCGCCCCCCACCGTGGAGCCTCGAGACAGAACGCCCCAGGATAACGCCCAGGTGTCTTTCGCCCTGGAGTCCGTCCTCAGTGTGCAAGAAGCTCACATGTTTCCCCTCCTCATGTACCTGCATAGGAGGACGACCCGGCAGAGGATGTCCACAACCAATGAGATAAGAAGATCAAAGAGGTGTAAAATCAACTTGGTGATGCCCTCAATGCCATCAAGGCACAAGTGCCCCAGACGGTGGATTACCTGGTAAGACACACTGATATCCCGTTTATTGCGGATGTTGTCAACTACCCTTTACCTTCACAGTTCAAGATGCCCGTCTTCGAGATTTTTGATGGTACCAAAGACCATCTGGATCATCTTGACACCTATAAGTCTCTCATGCAACTCTACAACGTGCTTAATGAGATCATGTGTAGAGCCTTTTCCACCACCCTAAAGGGGTCTGCTCGACAATGGTTCACAAAGATAAAACTCTCTTCTATCCACTCCTTCGTGGAGGTGAACAAATCATTTGTCTCCCACTTTACTAGGAGACGCCAACATTAGAAGTCTATTACCCACCTGCTCACTATCAAGCAGGACTGGGATGAAAGCCTCAAGAGCTACCTCACTCGTTTCAACGAGGAGGCCTTCCAGATTGAAGAACCAGACGATAAAGTAACCCTAGCCACCTTCATTGCGGGTCTGTGCTCCTCTAGTTTTATATTCTCTATCCTCAAGAAGCCGCCCTCCAGCATGCCTGAGCTGCTGTCAAGGGCACAAAAGTACATAAATGTTGCGGACGTCACCAAAGCCAGTCGAGGTGAGTCCTCCTGAAGAGGAGAGAAAATGAAGGACACCCATGAAGACAAGCTCTGTCAATGACAGTCTAGGTCTAGTACCCCAAAGAGAACGGCAACCCTTCACGCCACTCAACGCCTCAATGGAGCACATCCTGCTTTAGACACAAGATGACCCCGCACCCTGCTGGCCCAGAAAAATGAAGTCTGCCCAGAATCGTAGGAGCCTGAACAAGTACTGTTGTTTCCACCGTGACCACAACTATAATATCGACGACTGCTTTGATCTTAAAAGATAGATCGAGGAACTCATACAGCGTGGTCAGTTAAGACAGTACGTTGCTAGCAGAGGACAAGCCCCACCACTTGGTCGGGACAAAGACGACAGAGAACGCCAACAACCTCTCAGAGAAATCAAACAATCTCCTAAGGGCTAGGAGGAGAAGGCGACTCCAACTTCGCCAGGAAAATCTTGGCCCACCTATGGGACATCGAACACCTGAAGATTTTATCTATCCTTTATTGTTTCAGTTCATTTATTTTGTTATTTATGATTTTATGAAATAAAACTCTACGAAGATTATTGTGTCTATAACTTTCTTGCCTTCATTTCATAAAGTTTGTAAACAATTTACAAAAGTCAAAATATGACCTAATAACAAGGAAGACAAAAAGACAAAAGTCATCATACTCTCGACGATTAGTCACTGCACCCCGAGCCACTACCATCAAGGCTCTCTCCGTCATCGTCTATCCTTGGCGCCTCATATGGGACAAAGTCAAAGAAATCAATAACAGGGAAAGCTGACAAGTTCTTCATAAACAACAGTAAAGGCATGACCCTCTCAGCAGCTTCCTTCCTTATCTCCATGTCAGTGGAATGAGTCTCTGCCATGGCAACCCTTTCTCGAGTTATACGTAGCTTGGCCTCAGCTCTGCCGGCCCTTTCGTGGGGCGCTTGCAGCTCTGACTCTGTTCTGGCACAGACAATCATCTTATTAGTATCTAGCTTCGCGCTCTCTTGCGAGTCGCCAAGAAGTTTGGCCTAATTCAATCTCTGTTCCCAAGCAGTCTATGTATCCAGCTTCACACTTCTTGCGAGTCACCAAGAAGTTCGACCTTATCTTATCTCTACTCCCAAGCAATCTATGTATCCAGCTTCACGCTCTCTCACGAGTCGCCAAGAAGCTCGACCTTATCTTATCTTTGCTCCCAAGCAGTCTATGTATCCAGCTTCCCGTTCTCTCGCGAGTCCCCAAGAAGTTCGTCCTGATCTTACTTCTGCTCCCAAGCAGCCTATGTATCCAGCTTCGCTGTGAGATCCCAATTTTTTAGAAGTATTTTAAGTGTAAAATATTAAAAATTTTGAGGTGAAAGTATAAGGAATATTTAAGTTTTGTGGTTGATATATACAATAAGAGAAACAAATGGGAGGAAAGTATAAATATATGTAACTTTTATGTTTGTTAGTCTTCACCCACGTGAATGACTTTGAAAAGAAGCAACAGAAGATAAAAAAAAAGAGAATTGGACAATGGGTGGTGGGTGAGTGAGAGTTAATGGGTGGTGGGTCAATGATAGTTAATCTGAGTTGTGTGTCATGTTTTCCATAAAAGGGTAGAAGAATCTTTGAAAAAAAAAGGAAAAAGGAAAATGCAGACAAGAAAACGACAAAGAGTTGGGGTCTTTGATTTAGAGTTTACACAATATCGCTCAATTTGTGAAATGAGATAATCTCTTAAAGTACGGGGTGGTATGCAATATGCTCTCATTAAATCTCTTTGCAAATAGTATTTTCTTGACTATCCTCTGATTTATATTTCAACTTGTGCTATCGTTATTTTAGAATTTCGATTGAATATCGTTGAATGTTTTGATCTCATTCATCGTGTTTTGCGGATATTGAGATGCGATCATGACAGCCAATAGCCGGTGCATCGCCAACCAAGACACCCGTGAGATCGGGTTGAGGTGAGATGATTGGTGAGGTGTCAAATCTATGTTAAGAGTCTATATGACGTGCGATATACAAATATGATATTTGTCTCTGTTGATTGAGATAGTTTGTGATACTCGATTATTTGGTATTCAATGTCATTGAGCATACTTTTTCTCGTCATATTGTATACTTCCCCGCTTTATTTAATATTTTCAGGTTGATTTTAGAGAAAAGATTAGAACGAGATAATCAGAGTATTAAAGACAAGCATATGTCGATGTAATTGATGTTTTAATTATATTAGTAGATTTATTTATATTGACAGATTTTTTTGTATTTGGAGATATTTTGATAAACAAAATTTTATTGGGACAATTACCGCTCTGTTATTTTTTTATTTGGGATATTTTTATATCAATTAACATCTTCGAAAAGAAAAAAAATCGGGGCGTTACATTCACACTCTCTCACGAGTCGCCAAGAATTTCTGTCTGATCTTACGTCTAGTCCCAATTAGTTTATGTATCCAGCTTCACACTCTCTCACGAATCGCCAAGAAGCTCGGCCTAATCCTATCTTGGCTCCCAACCAATCTATGTATCCAACTTCGCGTTCTCTCGCGAGTCGTCAAGAAGTTCGACCTAAAGCAACCTCAATCTCCAACATAGCGCCTCTCTCACGAGTCGTCAGAAAGCGTGGCCTCAAGAGATGTTACTCTCTCATGAGCCAACCTCAATTGCACTCAACAGCCCCTCGTATCGGCCTCTCTATTACTAGATACCTCTCCAAGCTTTAATGTTTTTGAAAAAGGTAAAGATCCAATCTCTTTGATATCGCCGGGAGTCACAGACCTTCAAAGTTACTCATTGGCCAAAGTCATGTCGAAGCATAAACATCGAGCTACCACTAGAAGTAGGGCAGCTATGTGGAGCTACAATCCTCGTAAAAGACGGCATTAGAGTCTCAACTCTTACAGCGGTAGAAGGGCTAGCTCTGGTACACACAAAAGTCCTAGTCTAGGAAGGAGTGGGGGCCCCACCGAATCCCGCTCTCAGGAAATAACCTGGCCATCGGTCCTTTATTGAAAAGCACTGGGAGCATCAAATCCCGCCCTCTTGAGAAAAGGGGAAGACGCCACCCAAAAAGCATAGAGAACCTTCACCTCTATCAACGGGAGCGTATGTAATTAGAGACAACGTCAAGAACTAGCATAGCCAAAAGCCATCATAGTCTCCCTCTCTGGCAAAAACCCAAATTGCCAACCCGTCGCCCATGAATGCCTGACTGCTTCCCACCACCATCGATTTCACTAATTTGTGCTTAAAACTCAAATTCAGAGAGAAATAATCATTTTTTTGAAAAATTTGTTGACCAAATCGCCTTCGGCGGATTGTATGCCATAGATCTCGAAAAAATACCCAGATTCAAAAAAAAAAAAATTCGCTTCAAATAGACAATCGAGTGCAAAGTTATGGTCGTCCAAAGTTTTGCCAATTTTTATAATTTTTTGATACTCCAGCCAGCGCCTAGCATCCTCCTAGCGCCACCCAGGCTAACATACAACACCTGGCGTCGCCCAGCCTGGCACCCAACATCTGCCCAGCATCTCGCCTAGCTTGGCGCTCAGCATGCCCCTAGCGTTGCCCAGCCCTTGCGCCCAGCCTCCTCTTGGCGCCGCCCAAGCCAGCACACAGCGTCTGGCTCGCCCAGCTGGTGCCCAGCGCTTGCAAGGCATACCCCAGTCTGGCGCCTGCTCTTGTTGACACTGCCTAGTTCGCTCCTATTCCAACTTTGACATCCTCCGCCACAGCAGCATCGCCACAGGCCACCTGAGAGAAGGTGTCGCCCAGCGCACAAGCACCGCCCAATGCCTTTCTGGAGTCGCCTGGTGCCCGGGTCTAAAGATACCAAACTGCCGAGTCTTCTTGCCTGCTCCAACGATGCTATCTACTTCTACTCTACCTTGGGTCACTCCTCTCCTTTCCATTAAAGGATTTTCTCCTTGAGCACTGTCAATTGAAGCCCTTTTCTCCAAATTACTCCTCATCTCCATGAAAGCTTCAAAATCACAAAGAAGGAGTTTTGCTAAAGAAAGGGAAAGAAGGGTGGAGTCTAGATGGTTTTAAAACATTAGCTCCTTGAAACCTTAAGAATATGCCCTACATGAAGAGAAAGGGGCCTTTAAGTATGGAAGATTGAAAATCCCCTCTAGCTGAACAATAACCATGAAGTGGTGAAGCAACAAGGGAAATGAGCTCTGACGACCAAAAGGATAGAAGATTGAAGAAGCACCGTGGGAAAGAAGAAACCTCTTATCTGTCCAAGCTCACTCATGCCCTCAAACCTTTCTTTCTTTTGCAATAAAGGCTTGGGGCATGGGGGCAAATTGCGAGCCCAAATCTAATTAGGCCAAACCCAGTAAATCAAGCAAGCCTAGATCCACTAGAACGGCAGGCCAACCCCGATTCATCAATCCGACATAGTCCAAGATTCAAGGAGTCCAAGAATATTAGAGCACGTGGTAGAGAGAAATTATCGAGATACACAATCTCAAGATCAAGACTATTTTAATTGTACTTACCTTTTGTAACTATCCTCCCCGAAGAATTAGTACCCTCACACTCACGTCACCGCCTCACCATGCCTATAAATTGTAAGTTCTCTCCACATGAGAGTACACATCTTGACATCTCACTATACATTGAGCTTTGTCTCTACACCCTAATACACACACTTTCTCTCTCCTAGCTATTATATCTCTCCTAGAGACCTTGCTTGATCATTAAAGACCCCCGACCACCGTTGTAGTTTTTCAAAATGGAGTAGATCACCCTGACCGAACAACTATATATCCGTGTATTTACTATATATTTACATTTCTGCTATTGATTACTTTATTTATTTTCCATTAATTATATCTATCACACACTCGACTGCTGATTTTGCACGAAACTGTTTTGTGCATCATCAGTCTCCTTCAATTCTATCATATCTATGAAGTCATTCTCAAACTTCTTATTGATTATGTCAATTGGTCATGTAGATGGAAGCGTGTTAACAACAACATATAATATAATTGGATTATTCGACATAAACCCTTCTTGTTGCAGTTTATAAAATAATTATTCTTTCTTTTTTATATGATCTACAACATTCGTCCCTAAACCCATTTTTTCATGTTCAAATTGTACCCGTAATGGATGAATATTGTGTTCTGCTTCCACCAATAATTGTACAAACCATACTACTAATTAATATATATGTATGAATATAGGACTTACTAGTTACTATGGTACCAGGGAAAAAATTAAGTATCATACCTCTAAAATTTATTATTTTAATAGACATTTTTATAATTTTTATGGGTTATTTTATAATTAAAATTTTTTTATCATTTTTTGTGAATATTTTTACAATTGTTGTGATCAGGGGTGAAGCTAGATTTTCTCTCGAGGAGGGCCAAATAGTGGTAAAACAATATAGTTTGTACTCAATCTGGATTATTCAATTAGATCATTACGGTTATGACATTTACATGCATAGAATTTATAACAATTTATCTCCCACGATATAGTATAATTATTATTTTCAATTAAATGAATAAAGTTAATCGAAACTAGTTTAATTATTAGACATAAAAAGGCAAATCAATTGCACCATTAATAATTTAAAATAATATAAAATTTATAAATTTACAATTCCAAAATTTAACGATTTATGTAAAATGTTACAATTTTAATAGTTAATGGTTCAACATGGTCTAATCAATAGACGAGAGCATAAAATAAAATCAAGATTATAATTCAATATATAAATTATAATTTTAAGAATTTAAGTGATATATAAAATATAATCAAAACATAATTATAAGGGTATAACGTCTAATTTCAAAATGTTGAGGGGGTCATGGTCCCATTGGGCCATAACATGGCTTCACCACCGGTTGTTTTGAAAACTATTTATATCATAGTTTTAAAATTCAGTCCAGACATCAACTCAACAAAAGGATCGAGTCAATAGATTTTTGATTCAACCGTTGGATCACTAGTTCAACTGCTACTTTAACAAAAAAATTAAAAAATAATTATAAATACTAGTAAATTGGTTAAAAATTATAATAATTATAAAAATAACATCAAACATGTAAAATTATTTAGAGAAAAATCATCAAACATTTATGCAAATGAGATCTCTCAACAAATAGAAATTATTATGATTACTACTTGACACTTTATCTCGTCTTTACAAAAGTCCCAACCTAAATGGTGAAAAACTTTCCCAAAAAGATAGAGCCACCGACTGCCTTGACTCGGGTCAATCAAAAACAACTACAGAATTTTCCAAGAAAATAAGAAAAGGAATAAGTGAGAGAGAGAGTCTTTTCTACGGTGGAGTCAATAGTCAAGGAATACACATCACGTTCACGCTGAATTAAATTAGAAGAAGCTTAAAGTTTTTTCGCAAACTACCACATCACTAATATTTTAATATATTCAGTCTAGCTAATATATAAGAAAAAGCAGCAAAACGTTGGTGGACCCGATGCGAGTCGATAATGGTCACTCGGTAGAGGACTCGATGGTCACTCGGTGGAGTCTGATCTGATGGGGTTTATGTAGATTACATCATTTGGGCTTTGAAAGGTGGATAATGCTCGACTTGTCTGTTTATTCTAGTTGGGAAAAATAAAAATCATGTTGTTTTCTTCCCAAAGATAATTTGAGGCAATTAGAAAAATTGGCAAAATATTTATACGATGTCATCAGAACCGGATTAAATATCAAACCGACTGAGGAATCGGGTCAATAGTTGTTCAACTGGTCAGACCGGTTGCAAACATTATCATTCTTTTTCTGGGAATTATGTTCCTTTAAGGACTGATGAATTGTTTGAAGAGACTAGAGAGCAGTAATCCTGGAATTGACGGGAAAATATTTTTTCCTCTTGTGGATGCAGTTTAGTTATTCCCCCATCACAATGTGGAGAAACTCCAAAGGGTTCAATGGAAAGGAAATCAACTAGGTCGATGCAATAGTCACTTTCATCAAAACAATCAAATATGCCAACGTCTACATGCCGTATGAATATCAAGTTACCCTAATCATGCTGGAACTAAATTCGTGCAAGAACTTTTTGGCTCAAAGACCAAGTTGGGACCAAGACCAGTGGATCCATATTGAACAGAGAATCTATCTATTTCATTGTGTGGTGGTTTTTGCTGTCAAGTAAAAGCTGGTTGAATATTTAACTCTACTGAATATGGTCACCGACTATTTGGCTAGTTTGGAATGCTTATTCGATATATGTGTGGTGGTTTTTTGCAATCAAGTAAAAGCTGGTTAACTATTTAACCTACTGATTATGGTCACCGACTAATCCGCTAGTTTGGAAAGCTTCTTTGATTTGTGGTCATACGAAAGAATAGGTTCCTCATGGTTAATTGTGAAAATTTTGGCAACTACCTTCTCGAATACTGATGTACCATATCTGTATGTAATAAGTAAATGGGTATCCTACTACTCTAGGTCAAGTTCTAATTGCCTTCATATGGTGTCTTTTTTCTTTTTTGGACTCCTCCCTATGGTTTGGAGTGTAGAACTTTTCTCCCTTATGGCTTAAACATTGCTCAAATTAAACCCATTTTTTAAGGCAATGCTGTTAAATATGACAGAAATGTGTCACATGATTCTCTTATGGCTAGGATTTTAGTTATGCAATCAATCTACTCTTATTTTCTGATAAGGTCCTTTTTTATCCTAATTTATATTGAAGAAAAAACGCAATCATCCTATGCTTCCAGTACAGATGAAAAACTCACAGTTTTTTTGTATAAGTGCAGGTTGTAGTAGATTCTGCTGTTTGGCATACTTTACATTAGTCCATAACCGAAAGCTTTATGTATCTGAATAATGCACACAATAAATTATGACATTGTTGAATTGTTTCCAATTCCTTCACGAATACAACTTGACTGCTTTCTAATACCTCTGGCAATCATTTCTTGCACCAGCATATTTGATCTTTTCATCAAGGATTGGCCATTTCTCATTTACTGGCCGGAAACAATATGTTATGCTTCTCTATTATGAGTATTTGCAGAGTGTTTGCCCATGGATGAAAAAGCAAGTTTTCCTGTTGGTCGGAATCTAGAAAAAGGACCCACTAGTTTCTTCCTCCCCCCCCCCCCCCCCCCCTTCCCCCTCTCTTTCTCTCTCTCTCTCTCTCTAAAAAAAGGTCAAAGTTTGTCTTAGTTTCTCCACTTTTTTATGGACTTCAAGAAAGATACATTATTTCTACAGTTACATTTCTTGTTGAATTATTTGCAGGTAATGCAAGTGTTGTTGTTTAGGCCTTTTTCATTCAGAATTCTGTATATCAATGTATTGAACAATGATACACATTTCTTATCAAGATTGCTTTAGTATGGCTTGTGATTCTCATATATGATAACAATATGTACACCAGGGGATAAATATTCTCTTCATAAACATTGCGCGAATCGAAGCGTTTTTATGACATTATCAGCCGCAGGGAAAGGTGGTGGCAGGTTGTTGGAGAAACCAGTAATAGAGAAAACATCTCCTGGCCGTGAATCTGAATTTGACTTGAGAGAGTAGTCTTGAAAGTGAGCTATTAGAAAGATTTTTACATTCTTTGGAGAGTAGTCTCTAAAGTGAAAATCGGCTGGCAACATGTAAACAAAATGGTTGTGGTTGCAGAATGCTCAATATCTTCAATCAAGTTTTGTCATGTTCATGAATTGTGACAGTTTTCTTGAGGTTGAATGAGTTGTCTGATGTTTTGGACTTTACGCATGGATAAGCAACAGATGGCACCTCGGCACTGAGGTGGTATTTTTAAGACTGCACACCTAAACCAAATGGGGGCTGGTGGTTTATGCTGAGTCCATTGCTAAATGGTTCTCAGTTCTTCTCAGTATTTTGTGCACACATTTAAACTTTGTTTGGGTAGAAGTTTCTGATACATATAGAAATGGCTGTTTGAGTGGTCCCTTAGCATTTTGGGTTTTTCTTTTATATGCCGGACCTTTTT